AAGTACTCATAACTGCTCAGACCTAGAAATTCCTCTTAATTTCATAAAATTATTGCTCAACTCTTACCCCTTTTGCAAATGCGGCCCTCCCACTCCTTAAGTAAATGAGGGAATATGGCAGCAAATACTGCTACATCGGATGCCACAAATCAAGCTTGAGTTTATTAGAAGCCGACTTCGCACTGGCATGAGATGTCTGCCTTGCAATGTCGACTGTCACCCTCGAATTACTGTGCTTTTTTTCCTAGCGGAAGAATACATTATATTACATATATTCCGCGCTGTTCATTGTTATGAAAAAGAGTATATTTTAGTTAATGTGGAAATTTTACTGGTAGATATTTCTTCAGGCTTTCATCGGAATTCAATTACGACATTGGCATGTATTATTTGACTGGCGGCAAACTTCTTGTCAAACCCGCCGTAATTCATTATACATTGGGACCTACAAAACCATGGCTATGGTGGACATATCCACTGTTCGATTTGAATGAGCACTGGAATAATGCACGGTTTGTGCCAAATCATTTACGACTATTATTGTTTTTTTGTTTTTTTTTCTGTTTTTTTTTTCGAAACATTCCCTTGTCTACAAGCGAATGGAATTTTCCCAGTTCTCACGAGAAACCACGTCCTTTCCCTGCCGAAAATTTCATCTGGGCATGAATAATCTTCAAACGAAAGTGTCCTCGAACGAAACTTGAAAACGTTCTGTTGGCGAAACCCGGTTAAAGTTATCATAATTACCGCAGAACACAATAGGGAAAAATCTTTTAGTATTTTCTATTCAGACTACTTTTATTTTTTATTGTTCTTGTTTCCTATTTCAGTCAAATCGTTTTAGGAATGCAATGGAAACGGTCTATTGTGATCCCGCTCCCGATTTGCATCTCATCTTTTTCACCGTGCTCGTAGGAGTCTTCGCATTACTTTTCCGAAAGGTCAATTTTAACTTTTCAAATTTTTCTCATTGATATTACGTGCACATGATGCATTGCGATCGGTTTCTTTTTTTTTTGTAAGAATTTGAGCGCAATGAGAATTTTCTGCTAAGCGTGAGCTTCTGGGAGTGATCAAAGTTTTTACTTTCCTTATGTTTTACCCTTGTTATTATTTCTTAACAAGTACTATGAGTATGCTTGTGCCATGACAGTCCAGTGGATCATTTTTTGCTTCTGACAGCCGAGTTCACATTCTTTTTTTCCAAAAAAGCCAAGGAAAGGGTTGCAAGGGCAGGTAGCAGAGGGTAAAGTTACATGCCGAACCTAATTTTTAGTTCTATCTGCGCGTGGAATGCATAACATTTGCATGCCGAGAATTTAATTTGGAAGCTTTTGCCTTTACCTTCTAACTTCTATCACTGAACCTTATTTATGGCCAGTTGACCTGCCTTCTTCGAGGGGGCCTCCAACTTTGACTTGTATTCCCTCCATCTTCGATTTATATTCGAGTACTTTGTCGTTGGGAGGGTTTTATTCATAGGTGAGGAAAGTTGTGAAGTAGATGTTAATCAAACACGGGCCAGCTGGCCACTTAAGTATTTTGCATGCTGGTTTGTTAGCCTAAGTTCCTAATGAAAGTTATTTTTGAATTCACCCAAGTATCATCAATAGTTCCGTTTAACTACTTCTTTTTAGTTCATACTTCTTATCTCTGGCGACTTTCTTCGTTCTGATTCTCTGTCGGCGGTTGAAGAGCAATTCGCTCACTACCTCATTACTTGGATCTCATTTTTTATAACTTGGAATGTGATGCCCACAAATGCTCATCCTTTCGCTTCTTGGATGTATTTCACAGCGAGTTTGGTGAGTGATTTTCAAAGAATACCTTTCGAACTGCAGTGCCAATCTGGGATTTTGTTCAAAAGACGACTTGGGAAGATCTTCCTCGAGAAACAAAGTATTCATCTTAGTTCTTGTAAAGTTGCATTAATGTTCGCCAGGAAAAGGATGAGTAGTCATATTCATGACGAATCCGAAGGGTTATGAAGCATTAACACTCCAATGAAGACCGCGAAGGTTGACCCGATTCGCAAGCTGATCCTTTTGCTGAAGTAGCATCGACCCAGCAGTCGAAGACATAAGAACCAATATAGTACAAAGTTTAGTGGTGCTGTGTAGAAATTATTTGCATTGCCTATTCTTCTTCTTGTTATGCCGCCGTCGCTGGATCCGCTTATTTTGTACTGTTGCTATTGGCTGTAAATCAAGAAAAATGTAATATAAGATATTAGGGACCGTTTTCTCGATGACAATGAATATGCGACTCAGACGCAGGTCGGTGGCATGCCAGAGATGAAAAACCATCGCCTTCGGGACGTCTTCTAACGACTAGAAAGTGGATCAAATGTCCACCATCTGCAACGACAACTGTAGACTTTGCAGTTTGATGAAAATTCAGAACAAGTCCGTCCGTGCCGAAGCCAACAGAGCCTCTCGTCCCGTGATTCCCAGTCGAATCAGGGTCGTCCGGGAATTCAAAAACACTCACGCTCACGTTAGCTTATCCAAACAATCCGAAACCTCTGCCGAATGTGCATTTAAATGTCACTGAGTTTTTAACGAAGTCAAACGAGCGCCTGAAGCAAGTTGACCAATGACAATCATAAAACTAGTTAGGACGCTAAAATTGCACGACCTAGTTTCCATTGAAATTAAAGAAAGAAGTAGAAAAAATTACGATCGTTTTTAATATTAACAAATCTTCTTTCAGAACATCTGCATTGTTTGCTTCAGCGATATTTTTGTGGAAATCAGATGTGGTGGCCTCGTCACAACCTCTGCCTATCCTCGAAGTTTCGTCTTTGTTCTCAACACTTGTGCAATTTTACTTTCATTACTAGTTTTATCGCTCATACCCTGTTTTGGTACGAGAGCATTACTTGCCATTATTCTCTTAGTTCTTTTAAATTATTTATTCCCTTTATTATGTAAAACATTTCTCATTGGACGGCATGACTGTCATTCCAATTATCGATTGTTACCTCAACGAAAGGAATGTGTTCATTAGACGAGTCTTTCTATTTTCATGTTATTATTGGCTTTTAAGCTTTTAATAAAGTGCAATATGTACTTCTACAGCGTTCACACATCGTGTAGTAGGAATGGTGCGTCGTTGGCCACTGCCTAGATCAATTTGGCTTCAATAAAGTGCTCTCCCCCTAAACCAAGCTTATTTCTCTTGGGATTCACCTGAATTGTAGAAAATGGTTACACAATGGGATTGAATCAAGGTCGCGATCATTGCTTAAGGGGAAGGTACAGTCTTCGCTAACTTCTTATCCATGTGAAGAAACCGTCTGGTCTAATCGTTCTGCCTAATAGCGGATCTACTTATCTACCTTGCCCTGCCTGTTAAAAAAATTATATACACAATGGTAGGAGCCTTGCCGGTACCAGCTAGCTAGCACATCTACGTAACAAAACCTCTCCTCTCCTTGAAGAGCTTTATTCCTTATTTAAGGATATTTCTCTACAGTCAAAAGGTCATTGGTGTTCCGAAGAAGGGACATATTAAGGGTGACTAGGAGTGGAAGGGGAAAAAATGTCAAGGCTACTAGAAGACAACAAGAGTTCAGGTTCAAGAAGTAGCCCAGAATTTGCCCCATTTCAGCAAGAAAGAACAATCCTATCACCCGGAGGACGGGAAGCTTGGGTGGTCCAAGCGATTAAGGATATGATTCCTGACCATTGGTAAACAAAGTCGTCGCTTCTGGATTCCCTTCAAAGTCGTTTCTTTTTATGGATTACTCTATGCTGCTTTCCTAGAAAGATGCCTGACAACAATGTCAACATGTTGCGCGTTGGTTGCTCCAAAGAACTACAAATTGAAAGTAGGAAAACCGCTCACATTATAGAGAATAACGCCTGGCGCGCTCCATTTCCACGAGTGGCAATCAAAGGCGGAGCGGCGGGAAAATGAGAAACGAAAACCACGGCAACTGATGGAGCAGCGCTTACCTCGCTTCCTTGTTTTTTCTAATTCTGTGTTTTGTGTGGTTAGTTGGTTGGTATAGGATATTTCGCAGGGTTCCATTAGTCACCGGAGCTAAAATAGGTCTTTTTGACTTGAATTTGTAAGAGATATTCTTCGGATTCAGTGTTCATCTTGATTCCATAGTTTTGACGGGTTGCAGCTTGATTGTGAGAGCGACCCCCTGTTGGAAGTTTCTTTGATGATTCATGGGTTTTATCACCTATTCACTCATCAGCCTTTTACGTCTCTCATTCCTCTTCATGACTCATTCTCATGAGCGCTGAGTTGAGGAAAAACTTTAGCTGCTCATTTACTAACCATTTATAACTCTTATTCCTTCTTCCAGTATCATGTCTTGCTATACTGTAAAGTATCATAGAATAATAATGGCATATTTAGACATTGATGCCTCATGTAAAAGATAGATGGCAAAAGAGCACTACCGTTCAGAAATGGTAACAGCGACAGCTCTGGGCAGTCCACGGAGTTAGCCGTCTGCTGATATAGCTGCCTGCATGGGATTATAACCAGGAAAGGTATGAACATTTCCAAATCTCGTCTGTCCATTTTTTACTGACTTGCATTGTTTGATTATCTTCCGAACATACACCCCAGAAAGTTAACGGGCAAGTTTTGTACGGTATCCTAGTGACTGTCGAGTTTTTGTAAGCTGTTTGTTGTGGGTCGAGGCTCCGCTGAGGCTTGAGTTGCCCGAGGGAGTCTCGATTGGGGGATACGACCCTGGGCAACGATAATGGCGCAGTCGAAGTCGACACTTCTTGATTCCCTTCAAACTCGTGCATTACTCTGTGCTGTTAGGAAGATTTCTAACAACAGGTCCGTCATATGTTTCGTACTGGTCCCTCCAAGGAACTACATATTGAAAGTGAAATCGGGGAGAACTACTATTCTTCGAATATCGCCTAGCGCGCTCCAATTCCCCGATTGGCGGTTAAAGGCGGGACGGCGAGACCTGTGCGTAACGAAAACCTGCCAACCGTACTGCTGCGCTAGCATCTCTTTGCAATTCCTAAATTGTTTTTCTATATGATGAATTGATTTTTTTNGGATTTTTCGCTGATCGATTAGTCTTACTGGGATCCTTCCAATTTGGATTTGCTCTGCACCCACAGAATGACGTTCCCGCGAGGTTCGCGACTCGGATGGGGTCGCATTTGAGTTGTTTGAATGGCTCGCTATGGGCTTCTTTTTCAATTTTCTGTAACCTTGAATACTGAACTAATGCGATTGATGTCAGATTTGATTACCTACTCGGGGTAAATCTCTCATTACGTGACTGAAAGTTTGATACAATCCTTCCTCCTTCTTGAAAGGCTGATCAGCTTTAGCTCCTTTCTCCAATTTTCTCCAACCACATCGCATGCTGGATCAAAATCTATCAATTCGCATTTCTGCTGGTTCAGAATACCATCTTTCGTATCTAGGATGATCTGAAAATGCCAAGCTTCTATTCTCCCTCTACGTTCCCTTCACGCTCGATTCCTTCATTAAGCCACCTATTAATCTTACCCAACCTGGAAATTCACCGAATACCCGATGTTTTATTCCAATGAACTTTTGTCTAATCAGCTATGCCCCTCATCGAATGCGCGAATCGATCATCGGTTCCAGTTAGGTCGCGCGGACTTTGAACTTGTGCATGCCATATTCCACAGCAGTGGATCAGAGTTCAACCTACACTAGGCAAAAAGAAATGCCCGCTAGAGATTGTATGTTCTCGGGATCGCAGAAAAGTAACACCTCCTTTGGGTGCGTCGCACCATTGTGGCTCTGCTTTTCGACCTTCGCTTTTGCTTTACAATTCACTTGAGCGAATGAGGCCACGGGAGTCATACAAGGAGATGCGGGTGAAGCAGTGGTGAAACTGGTGTCGAAGCCCTTCTCAACCACTGTATAGCCGATATGTAATGATCATGAGCCAATATTCCACGAACAGTGAGAGNNGGAATGCTGTACGTAAGGAGTTGGTACAATCTTT